AAATGTACAAAAATTTGGTCAAAATTCATGGACGTATAGATGAAGTTGTATTATTTCACATACACAAAAATCTGAGTATCTGAATGCTCCATTTTTTTTGTAATTAAATCACAAAGACGGATGCTCGTATGTTTTTTACCAAAATTCATCAAAAATAATTAAATAAAATAATGTTACACCTTTTAATTTACCAGAATTGGACATACTAAGGGTTTAAATTTTAGTTGGAACACCCTATATAATAACTGACATTCCATTTTTACCTTCGCACTAAGAGTAAGGCCAATGCCCATTTCCAAAAATAATAAATTACACTACTGCGGCGCAGCTTGGTTCGTCCAGCTGCCCGTTTCATTATCAGATATATTAATAATTAGCCAAGGCCGCTAATTATTTGGCTTGCGTCAATTTTTTTAGTTGTCCAAAATCTCTCCAATGTCGGATTGTATTATAACAGAGAACTGATCTAGAGAGAAACTGTTACAGATGGGACACAATGGAAAGTTTCTCTATGTAACAGTCCCGCAGGACCCATTGTAACTTGAGGCGCGCTTGTAGGTATCGCCTGCTTGCCGTCGATCATGGCATGTTATCATTTATCGACGTTAAACACCAGCAGTGGCCCGTTGTTTTGATCACAAATCCAAAGGACGCCCTGTTCTTGATGCCTCGTAAAGAAAACTTTGAAATTGTCACCGAATCTACGCACGTTCGACTTTTGGCGTTTTCTCCTGTTCCTATCAAAACGGTTAAGATTCAAATTGACAATGAAGCGTGGGTGGTATGTCGGCATGTCGAAGGGCCATTGTACGTGGCCCCTTGGAGTCCAAAGATGTACAAAATTGGACTTCATACCATTAAAGTAATATTTTAAAAGTTAAATCTACTTGTATCATTTTTCACTTTTAGGCGTATGTTCGTGACGAAGATGGCAGAATTAAACTCCATACTCAGCCCTTTTCATTAGAAGGAAGGAAACTGTCTTTTGAATTTTTGGCAAAATTTGTCTTAATGACGAATGCAAGCACTTTCGTACGCATTTCGTTTTCATTGTTCTCTACGTTTATCATTGCTTGTTTTAGTTTAAGTGCATGTTTTGGACTTTTAACCTCGTGGCGATATTGCCATTGATGTTGTTAAGGATGGTTCATTATTGTGCCATTAAAAGTAAGCGCGTTTACTTTTAAAGTTAAGCTTTTGTAAATGTAAATTTCAGAACACATCATTTCTAAAACAGGAGGCTTCACCGGCTGCTTTTACCTGTGGATCAGGAAGCTGTGGACTTTATCGTCCGTCGATCGAATCTTTTGGCCCACAGTTTTGTACCCGATTTACTTAACAGTAGGCCCTTGGTCCGTCGGATTTATTGTCGAAGATCGTCTAGGCGCTATTTTTGCATGGGGTATATACGTCGACGGTATTTTTTTGCCAGGTTCGTTTACGTATGCCTATGGATTTATACAGGTGAGTACGGCTCTGATTTAGTTACGAGGATTTTATTTGTAATTTGAAGCTGTTCACTTTCCAACTGCCTCTAATATTCATTCTGGCAAACGGTGTGGATTTTCGGTGAGTGTGCGAAGGTGAAGGGAATTTAAGTGATTAGTTTATAGGGTCCGATGTCTTATGGAGAAAGAAGAACCGTCTCATTTGGTTAGAGTGCGGCTGCATCTACCCTTTATTGTACTTTTAACCCTTCAAGTCATAATGGCTTACTTTTTCTGGTTGGCTTATGGGACCTTGGCCTTTCTACTTGGTGTGCTCCGTACGTGGTCGATAGTCCTTGCCGTTATATTATGGATATTGACGCTGCACTTGCCAGAGCGCTGCGCGTGGTAAACATTTTAATGCAGTCTTTTTCAGTTTACATCAATGTCTTTCTCTTTCAAGGGGCGCAGCGAAAATTTGGTCGCACAAATGTGAGCAAGAATCGGTATCCACTTCGAACGCGGGTCTGAGTGCGTTCAAATAATTCATATAGCAATGTGATTTTAGTATTTTACTTTGTAAATGTGATATAAGATATTTTTGTAGTCAAATCTGTTCAATGGCCTTAATCAAATGACTGGTTAGAATTGTAAATTTTAAGTACGTTTTATAATGTTTGTATTTTCTATGTGATTGTAATGTTTTTGTCGCCAATTACCATTACTTATTTAGGTACCTCGAACTTTCCAGTGTATGATTGTATTAATACTATACTATACACCAATTAAGGAAAATATACATACATAATTGTTTTTGTTTTATCTAGGTGTTTAATTCTTTCCATATCCACAGTGTAAATCCATTATTTAAAATTTGAATATTCAAGATGTGTTTAAAATTTAGATCTTTTATTATCAAATTTAAATTGCGGAGTCTCAGTAAAATTTAACCCTAACGGTACAAACATTCCCATCAGTATTTAAGGTAGATAATAAACCCACAATTCTTGAATTTGGATTTCAGCTACAGTAATGGAATAAGATTAAAGAAGAAGAAAAAATAAAAAAGTTTAAAAAAGGCATAAATACATAGCTAATATGTCATTGAATTTCAAATTCAATGTAGGATAAATTGCCCCGTCAAAATCACTCATATGGGCATTCTGCGAGTAAACTTAGCCTTAAAATAAGTCTTAAAAACGCTCTTAAGGGATCGGTCCAAAGAGGGTTCCCACTTTAGCCTCCGGGGGGAATCGCCCCGTGAAGTTCCCCCGCAATATTCGCCCCCAAGACAATTCAAGACGGATACATTCTTCACAAGACGTTTATCCTTTAAAAATCCTACTAAAAAGAAAAGGTTAACGGTTGTCATTTATCTGTTTTTAAATTAAAAATAATTTAATATTTATTTTTCAACACACAAGAAGAAATACAAAAGCTTTGGAAAAATCGCTCAACAGAAACTGGTTCGCCCCAAGGATTTTATCTTCTCGAAAACCTACGTACAAGATTCGATCATGTAAGCTCACGCCTTAGGGAAAATTCCCCTCGCCTGAAGTAGGCGAAGTTTCTGGTGTTAAATTACTGGAGATCAATCGGAAAAATTGTTCCAAGTGTAAGTGTAAATTTATAATCAATTCCAATACTTGAAGAATTTCTACCTATACATAAGCATCCCTAAAGTTGTGGCGGTCTACCCTATTACGTTCCCAAAGTTTGAAAATTATTTTTAATGAAATTAAGCATAAAAATCAAAAAACTTTATTGGCGTTTTTTAAAGAGAAAATACGTGTAAATGTATAATCAATCGCGATATAGGAAGAATTCCTAGCAAAGTATCCCTACAATGAGAGCAGCGCTCGACCCTATGATGCGATCTAAGAAATGTTAGTGCATAAATCAAAGAAACTGCTAGTGAAGATCCGTACACACCGCTTTGGCGGTGGTCAGCTAATAATGATCAGGTGTGGCTCAAACATGTCGAAGATAGTTAGTAGGAAATGCAATACCGGGATTGCGGGATCCCGCGGCATTTTTGCGAGATTAATCTCGCACATAAATGGAGCGGGATCTCGCGGGATTTGCGGGACTGAGGAATTGGTCGACCAAGGGGACGACTCTGTTTACTTTGTTAATGAAACTGATAACATCGATTTATTATTTTTATTTATTTAAATAATTGTTAAACTTTTTTCGTTAAAAATGTACTATGATTTTTGAGGGACTTTAGAAGACTTTTTGTGCTTTACGGGTAAGGTTTTTTTGTTATAAGTTAGGCCGAAGGTACTTTTTTGTTAAATATTGCAATAATTAGCGATTTATTTTAATACAGAAGTTAACCGCACAGAATTGCTTATTTGCCAATTTATTTAAAGTTTTGCGAGATCCCGCGGGATTAACATCTAACAATCCCGCAAATACCGGGATTGAGATAATGTGCTTAGAACGCCTGCTCGAAGTACGATAGGAATAGACCTGGAGACGAATCTTTTAAGGGCGAATGTGGCGTATTGGCAATAAATTTTTCAAATACACGACAGCATTTTATTTAGCGCCACCCGCTAGATTCCAAGAGCAAATATTTCGGGGATGAATCTTCGGAGGTGGAAAATCATCATCACTAAACTAAACGCGAATTTACTTTTGGGTAAGCGTCAGTTCAACAATCATAATTTTTTGATTTGAAGTTTCAGCTTGTAAAAGGCACCCTTCGAAAAAGCAGGTAGATATAACTCTAAAATTCTACTTCTAAATTTCAGCCAGAATTCGATGACAATTCTAAATACGGAGATGCTGTTGCTAGCATCATGACAGCGGGTTTTTTTTGGGTTGCTTTGGTTTCAAATACATTTACAAATCTCCGTTTTGAAAATATCATTTCCGCAAACTTCTCAGAGCATGTAATTTAATCAATTTTGGGTCCCAGGCAAAGTATAACAGCTACACTTTTTATGTGAAAATGTAATGTAACATTTTTAGATTTAGCCTCGGATTTAGCTCATACGTTTACCATTATTTTGGGAAAAAGCAAGTTATGTGTTCCTTTCAGACAATAGGTAAGCAATAAAATGGTTATTTTCCATTTATTTTGATGTACTGTAAACAAAAAACGGATGGAATGTAATATTCTTTACAAGATGATTTAGGCTGTATTTTAAGGGATATTTTGGAAAATGCTGCGTTACGTTCGCCATTTGAATTGGTCGTTATTTTGAAAGTACGAAAAACACTTGGTCTAAGTGCTGGATTAAAAATATTTATTATTATTATCTTTCGGTTTATCATGACTAAAATGCATCTCCCAGTTGAATCACATAACGTAGGTATCTATATTTCTTATTGAGGAGAACAACTTGTACGCATTTCTTCATTTTCCAAGGGGCGAATTGGTCATAAAATAAATCTGTGTTCTGTGGTTTATAACTTATAACACTGACAGTGCATACACTAATAATGAGACAAGTATCAATCAGACCTTCTTCTTATTGGTTCACTAAGGCAAAAAGTTTGTGAAATTCTTCATTTCTTGCAAAATCGTATCATTATTACAGGGCAAACGAATAAAACGCATTCAACGGTTATAGAAAGGTATATAATGTATATATAAAAGTAAAAGCTACAACGATTAACATCCATAAATCTTTATCTACAATTAACAATATATTATTCACCACAAGTTCAATTTCGTATTGCACAATTAGAACCATTTGTGTTCGAAAATATAAACTGGTTCACCAGCAAACGGGACAAGTGGTCATCCTTAGGTAGGTACGTAATTGAAGTAAAACATCGGTTTCAGTTTATGGAGAACGTTTGCTTGCGTGAACCACAAACAGCTTGTAGGGCACCTGGACGCGTTGCTCATTATTGTTGTCGCATTCGTCAAATAAATGCAACTTCTTCACCTCCTTAACGCAATCGCTTAGGTAATCTTCATGCATTTTCGACGGTATTTGGCTGTAAAATGGACTGACCGCCGTTATCGATTCTACAATTGAAGTGCAAACGAACCGCTACAAAATGCATTCACTTACTCACTTTTTAATACCGCCACGTTGGGGTAAACGTAAATTCTGTCTTCAGTTTTACAAATGTCAATATCAAACCCAACATCGAGCAAAATTTCCTCCAGCTGCTTATCGGGATTTTCCGAATATTGATACGGCGAAACGTAGTTTTTCACATTTTCCATGTAAGATTCCCACCGACCTTTTTTGGAAAGCGACTGATAAATTTCGAATATCGGGTTATTAGCCAGAAATGCTAAAAGCACGTCGCCGTCTTCCTTTAACATTTTATAAATATTCGCGAGGGCTTTCCTGTAAAAAAAGTGATTTATTAATTATTTAAATTTCGTCTAAGTACCTTTGATCTTGGACCCAATGCAAGCAGTAAAACGAAAGTATGTGATCGAAATTTTCTTCAAATTCAACCGGAATATCGTCAGTCGCGATATTCATGTGCTCGAATGCGATCTTCGAATTTTGGCAATTATTCTTGGCAAACTCGATCATCTCCTCGGATAAATCGACGCCGACTAATTTTTCAAATTTTTTTGGTAAACGCGGCAGCAGCAAATCGCGAATAACGTCACCGGCGCCGCAACCGACGTCCAAAATGCTGGCGTCCTTTCTCCACTTAATTAAGTCGAAGTAATTGTCTAAAACGTAGATTGCGTCGTTCTTCTGCAAGCCGTTGTACTTTGAGTACAGTAATGCCTGGTTCATTTTTGGGGATAGGTACCTACTAAAGTTACGTTTGTAACCCCGTAATGACAACTAGACATTTCTTTTGAAGCATCTTCTTTTATAGTAAAGAGGGGGCACCTGGACCAGATCATCTTTTTCAAATACAGCGGTAACCAACAAGTAGATTTTTCTTATTTGTCGTAGTCAATTTTTTTGCACTCCAGAAGTTACTCCCGCCAAAAATCCAGGCGTCGAGGCCTAGCGGTGACGCGAATTGCATTCGTAACTGCGCCAGTTTGTAAATATACGTAATTCATTGACAAAAAAAATTGTTTACGTTAATAATAATATTTGAAATCTATTTTTGTGTCACCTTTAACCTACCTTACGGCTTAGAATTTCTTACGCAACATTTTCATTGTTATGTCTTAGAATTTGAAATAAGTAAAAAGTGACATAGATAATTTCGAAGATTGTACTTATAACACGAAAGATAAAAATGCATTAATGGGTGCATGCCCGTTTTATATTATACTGTAAACAAGGCTTGAACTGACCACTACAACATTTAAGAGTTTAGGAACCACGAATTTCGAGCTGGACCGGTCATGGAACTCTAAAACGAGCAAAGCCAAAAAAATATCATATACAAAAAAATGTAATTGTGTCTGGTCAGGGCTGTTTTAAACGACGATGCTTGTCTTATACTTTTTTATTTTCTTGGTAACGCACGCATATATTCGATAGGTGGAGTAGGTAAGTTCCGCGTCCCATCCTTTATTTTATATTCAAAAAAATGCGAGTAAAAAAAGAATTTAATTACTTGTCGAATTTTTCCAGCTTTAAAACGTTTTGGATTTGAACAACGAGAAGAAAGTTTTTGTCTTTTATCAATAATGAAGGTCAGGGACCAACGTTACATAAATACCATTATAGATTAGGCTAGGTAAGTATTTTATGTGTACATCTGAGGAGAGAAATTTCGAATAAATTAGTTTCTGTTGGGAAGCTCGATGCATACGAACGTCAAGTTATGGCCACGTCTTTAAAATTAGATCTCAAAGTTATTAGACAAATTAGAAAGTACCCGGTCGTATATCTCTTAAATAGACTTTCTTTTTCGTAGATCTTTCATCGTTAAAAATTCCTGGCCCTTTTCATAATTAAATACTAAATATTTTCTATAAGCGTAGGTTATGGATCTTATGGTATTGTCATTTTTAACACTTACTTCTCTTGTGCAAGTGCATACTTCATAAACGGCAGATGTTGCTGCATTGTTGTATTTCTTAAATTAATGACCTTTCTACTCTGCGACCGGATTTATAGAACAGAAGTTTTAATAAATGTACAATTTGGGGTAAATTCTCAAGGTTCACCTTAGGAAAATATGTTCGCGAAATTATTCACCTTCAATGAGGGCTAGTTCGCACCAGATGCTCCAACGAATATTCGTTCCCCCTAAAAGGTAAATTCGACCAACATGCGAATCTCGGAAACCATAGAAGATACGAAGATGGTCAAATTAGGGAAAAGTTGCGCAATTAAACAGTTATTATGATGCTGTAAAGAAAACCAGAAAATTCGGATTATTTCCGAAGATATGCCAGAAACACCGAAATTTGCCGATTTTGTTTATATTCTTTTCTGATGTTGGTTGAACAGATACAAAAAAATAAAAAAACGTCGTTGAGAGATTTTCAATATAAAGTGTCGAGAAATCATCATAAACTTAATTTTCTTAATTGGCCCGTAAAAGAAGTACATACTGTAATGAATATATAGCATTTTTTATTAGGAATACAATACACTACACATACAAAAATTGAAAACTGTTGGTATCGGACACATTTTCCATTTTCCAGGACCGCAGATGGGTAATTTATTTGCAGAATTCAAGTTTAGCTTTATTTTATTATACCAGCATATACATAATGTTATTCAATGAAAAAAATCTCGATAACGATGGTCAAAGGACATTTCGCCACGAATTCACCTAAGGAACCTGTTCCTGGTGGGACACCCTGTATAAGTAGGTATGCATAATAGATTGTAGCAAACAACTCAAAAGCTCTTAGAAACTCATGAAACCTCTTCTCCTACTGTCAAGGATGTATAAAAGCTGCTTAAAGGTCTCTAAGACACCTGAAACCGAAAAGTTAAGCCTCTACAGTCAATTTGCATTGCAGTGTTATTGCAAATGGTTAGATTACCAACAACACACAGTCCTAGGTATATTTCTATCCTCTTCATATCTTTGCATATTTTATTCATGTACTGTTAAACACAATAGACAATATCGATCAAGGACTAATTATGTAAACAAATTTATCGAAAAGGTGTTGTCAATATTTGAATAAAGGTGCACAAATACCTGTTTACTCAACTGCATTTTTGTATAATGACATCTTCTGTACTTTACCTGGTTCAAAATGAACTGAAACTGCTGCGGCCGACAGTTGGGTTACGGTAGCGAGATATACTAATGTCACCTTCTCTCTCGTAATAGGACCATTTTTTGTGATACGCGGTCCCACTTGATTTATATTTTATCAAAAGTTTGAGGGAACATTGTGAGAAGAGCTTTATACTCCGTTGGGTCTTCGATTCTGAATCCTTTGAGCAACTGAGATGCTGCGCCGCCTGAATCTCTTCTCAACATCCACTTTCTGGTCCATTCTTTATTATTTTCCAACTCTTCCTGAGCACATCACAAAATAAAGTGACAAAAGCGCAATATAATATTAAAAATACTGTTAAAGACAATTAAAAGCTCTTAAAGTCATTGAGGGAACTCTAACAAAATTTGAAGGCATGTTAGTGTCTTTAAATGGTTGTGGATTGTGAAACCCATTTAAAACTAGCAGAGAACAGACATTTGGTGCCTAAGTAAGACTCTAAGAGCAATAAAATATATGAATTTTAATTCATATCTTTAAAAAAGTCTTAAAGCTCTGAAAAGCTAACAAAGGCTTTTACTTGCTTCTAATAACGACTCACGATTCACGAAGGTTTGTTGAAAACTCGTGAGGGGTTTAATTTAAGCCTTGAAAATCCTTTAAGAGCCAACAAAAAACAAACCTCAATGGTTTTTTGGACGGATAATTTCGTGCAAATCAGAACTTGTGGGGACTTTTTGAGCGTAGTTACCAAAGGAAACATTTACGACCCTCGGTTCATTTGAAATTTAATGTTTTGGGTTGCTTAGGCACCATCTAACACACTCAACACGTAATAGTTAAAATATACAACAGCGACGACACAAATAACGAATTTCGTGTTGCGGACTCTTTAAGAGAGTTCGCATTGCGGAAGTTTTTTGGCCAAATATGCATTTTTCGAGTCTAAGATTTACGTAGGAAAAAAAATTAAAAGGGGCGAAAATTTTAAGGTTGTTGTGTTAGTGAAGTCGACCTTCTGCATGTTCGCAAATTTGAAATTCAGATTCAGTTCAGCCTCTCAGAAAAAAAGCACAGTTTTGTTAGGGAAAAACCAATACCTGGACTGTACTGAACAACATAATGCATAATGCATACGACCGTTAATTAAAAATAGTAAAAGTTGCGTATTATACACCTCGGCATGTACCTAATTAAAAAAAGACTCATTGTCTTAATCTAACCTTGCATATTGTATTAATGTCTTTTAAGCTGACCGTCGCTTATCTTTATATAGGTTCTGAATTATAAGCAGAGATAATTACTTTTCTTTGGCGTTTCTTCACTACGTAAATGTACAGATATATTTAAATCTGTGGTAAATTTGAACTATAGGCAAATATACACACAGAATTGTTCGTGAACTGCCTGAAATCGTGTGTTTTTCCCTCCAAATTTCCTCAAAAGAACACGTTATATTTAACTTGAGATAAAAATCTTGTAAATAAGTAAGATGGGTCCCCAATATGTGCTCGCGGTTACCCAAAACTAAAATTTACAAGAGTTTTGAGGTAAAATTTGGGCTCTTCCGCGTGCATTTTAAATTATAGGCGTCGTAATTTTAAAATTCCAGGCCCATTTCACTTTCGGACGTTTCGCACCAAACTCGGAAGTGGAAGGTGCACCTTTGCAAATATGGGCACAAAAAGTTTTGTTTGAAAATCTGTGCCAAACATTTACTATTATACAATGGACAGTTATTGAGGTCACGTGTGGTGTGTAATCGTATAGCGCGAGTTTTATGATATTCAGTATAAGTTTGCCGTAGCGGTTTATCGTACATAGTGTAATTGAAGTAAACCTAATTTTTATTTAATTACTATTAGGTGGGCGTTACTTTTAGTGTCGATCATCGACTATTATTATTGGCATGTGACTTTGATGTTACCTGCGCGCGGCAATATTCGAAGTTTGCGTCCAAAAACGGCAATTGTGTAGATGTATCCTTCGTTTTCAGTGAGTATAATTTTGAGAGCGTTATCTAATAAATGAGTACTTATCAGTAACTAAAAAATAAGCAAACACGTGTACTAAACGAGATGAAATTCCTATATTGACCGCCTTTGAAGACGCCTTCGCAAACACAACTTTTTTCATATTTCATGATTTGCATAATATTAGAAACTTGTCCTTGGACTTCAGTTGCGTTATTTTTTTACGATGCACGCACAAAGTTTTTCTCTTTGGGAAATCAAACGCGGTAGAATAGGGACATCTGTTCAAACAAGGGATATGGTTGTTTTATTTACAAAGTTTAATTTAGTGAAGAGATAAAAATTCTCCGCCTACCGCCTTGATGTTTTCATACGTAATCCTTAACTTATGCCTCAAAGAAATTTCATTTAGATCAGAGCCAAATCATTTTATAAGTGTAATTTATAATTGGCATGTCTCTCACCTTGATTGAAAATATATTGCACGAACAGAAAGGTTACCGAGCAACCTTTGCAAAAATCAATATTTTTGCATGCCATAGGCACCCTTACTGCTACAGCCCAACTACCTACTATGGATTAGGTCAAAGACCAAAGATTTAGCCTTCCCTAACGTACCTATATAAAGTAAATATCATTCTATTATTTATGCACTATATACACGGTGGATTGGGGAGATTTGGTCCACATTCCCCACGCATGTTAACTAAATACCACCCCTACATATTTTTACAGATTTTTTATCGAAACTCAGCATATATTTAACATTAATATAATTAATTAAAAATTGAAACTCTAGTGTGATATTTCGTATCTTGATTCAATTTTGAGATTAAATTATTAAAACAAGCCGTATAAATGTCGAGGTGTGAAACAGCCTTTTCTACGAAGGGATATTTTTATGTCACCTAGGTAATTAAAGAAAAGCAATGTATGGCAAAATAAAATTTATTTTTCTAAATGCGTAGGTAGGTACATACAGGGAGTTCAAATTCGTGGATAACCATTGGGATCTCCGTAACGGTGGGGGATACAGTGCAGATTAAATGTGGGCAAAGTTGTCCTTTTTAGTGACGTATGTGAAGTTTTTGAAAAAAGAGTGAGATCACCGAAAAACTGAAAATGTCAAATTTCGTTTCCCTAGCTTAAGCAGTCGGAAATGGATGTTACGGAATCTGTTATCAGAATTTCCATAACACGCTAGATGTAGAAGCTGCAGCCTACCACCATCTTATTTCATTTGGGCGCCATATTGGATTGCTGCGGAATGAGTTAGAGACAAAAAAAGAAAAGTAATGACAAGTCACACTCTATACTTACTTAAATTAAAAAAAAAAGTTATTCATTTTTCAACAAAACATCCACGGGTAACTATAGATCTTGGAGAATCAACATGGCTATGATGGCGATGCATTGAAAACACTTTCTTTTTTTTGTCTTCTATCTTATTGGGTAAAACTCCAATATGGCGGCCATAAGAAATAAGAAAGTACCTAGTAGCCGTAGCCTGTAAGCTTCTACATATATCTAGCGTGTTATGGAAATTATTTCCGACCGTTTAAGCTAGGGAAAATAAACAGGAAATTTAACATTTTCAATTTTATCTCAGTTATTCTCAAAGATTTTCCAAAACTTTCAAATGAGTTTTGTTTGTCACAAAAAGAGGAAACTTAGCTTCAATTTAACCTACACTGTAACTCTTACCGTTACGGACATCCCAGTGGTAAGACATGAATTTGAACCACCGTGTACATTCAACCTCTACAAGTCTACACCCTTATTATTTGACCGTTTCTACAATCAACGGATACATTCTTTCGAATATACAATATGCGTATTTCGGACAAGAGATGCCAAGTTCAGCAGTGTACTCTGTCTTCCAACTAAAGCCGACACTAACGCTGAATTTGTGATAATAGGAGCTAAGAACTCGACCAATTAGCAAATACAAAGCAATTTTATTGTTAAGCTTTTGGGGTTGACTGTAATTATTTATTTGTGGTTTTAGTTAATTATTTGATGTCTATGCTGCGGCTAAAGTAATTAATGCGGGGATTATTCATATAGTTACTGGTTAATTTAAATAATCGAGGGAAGGAAAGCTCTTCATATCATCTTCTTGCTCCATGAATTATCCATAATCCCCGCATTGATTACTTTAACGGTAACATGTACGATCAATCTCACATCAAGATTTTCATCTAATCTAATTCAAATTGAAATGATGTCTGCAGCGGCACACGAGCTATTTGGGAGAAAGAGAAATAAGAACGTCTTTTATCCATAATGCCGGAGCGTATTATGCTTGTGAAGTATTACGGAAAAATGAGAGGAAAAATGTAGGAAAATTCACCTCGAAAAATGTTAGCTCCCGAAATACCCACATACGTATATTATAGATCCGTCGACGAGCAACAGAACGTTGCATCTAGAATGTTCTTTCACAGGGAAAGTTCGCCTCCAAAATATTTGAACCTAGAAAAGAATTGCAAAGAATTGTCACACAAAGCTAATGTTTCAAACCCGGGCATTCTACGTTGATTCCTTCGAGGTATAAAAGCGCCATTTTTTTTCAAAACCGTGCTAAAATATTCGCCCCAAAGGATAGTCGCCTTCAGATACCCGCTCTCGGAATATTCACCTCTGAAATACTTGCCCCTAGGGAAAATTTGACACCCCGCTGTAATACTCAATTAGTAGGAATTTCCTCCAAAGAGCAATCTTTACGTTCACACAAACTCCTTAAAAATACTCTTGGATCATGGTATGCTATACCTACATACTTTTTTTAAACATTTACTCGAACTATTTCAACGGACGGTAAAAATATAAACATTTTGGATTAAATTCAATTATCTCCTAGTGAGGCTGGATGAAGCAACTTAGGCTAAACAGGGTCCTATCCTTTATTGCGAGGAACGAGCTCTGAAACTAGGGAAAGAAAGGAAGTAGCCACAATGGGTTTCTACCATCCTAAGGTAGGTACATCTATCAGCACAAGGAGAGATGTTGAACATCCAAAAATAAGGATTCGGTAAACGCTAATCGAACAAAATAACTTGGATGTAGGTACTACGTTTGCCTTCATCAAATTGTTTATTTTAAACAGTTATATGCGAAAATACTTTAATTAACCTTCAACAATTAATGCTTTATGGAAATTATTTTTTAGCTATAAGGAAGATGAGAAAATTTTCTAGTCTATTTATACCTACGTAAAGTTAACCTTCCCATGAGCTTCGTAATAAATAAACAGGCTGTACAGCTTTATTTGAGCATTGGAATATTTATATAAATTTTCGAGATTCATACAGACATTTATACATGCTGATGTTGTTTGACAGTTTTTTGCTAGGTTTTTTGCTTTCCGGACAATGTTTTATGATCGATAGCGTAAAAAATTAAAAAAGAAGAGAAGAGTGTGAAAAATTTGAGAATACGCCAACGAGTTTCATTCTAAAAATTAACATTGATATTCTGGTGGTTCTGTTAAATCAAAACATTCCATTTTTATTATTGCTGTACAAGTTTATATTTTTTTATTACAAAAACCCTTGGATTTAGGCACATTTTCAAAACACCTCGATTTCAATTTCTGACGGTGCATAACTGCTTAAAATAAGGCCTAAATTCTACAACGTCACATTGTGATCCTTTATAACCACGAGACCTTAAGCAGTATGCACAGCAATGTCCGACTTTTCGCAGTGTAAACATTGGGTGACTAGGTAATTTATTTTTAACATTGTGCTAAATTTGTCGTCCCTCTTTTTGCAGCCTATGCGTAAATCCAAAATCAAATATTCAAATGCTATCTCTGATTTACTTAACTTGTCTACTTATGGATCACCCTGTATTCTAAGTCCTTTTTCAGTATCATTGTTCTACAATGATGCAGCAAATACAAAAAAAAGAAGACCCAACATCTGGCAATCACACACATGTGACGACTCCTTTAATAGCTTCTGGTATGAAGTAGGTCAATGTTAGTTACATGTTTGAATTATAATCATTTACGTTGAGCCAACAAATGGGATTACATATATCTTTAATCTTTGTCAGTGAGGTTTGAAAGTTGACGTGTTCGGATGAATATTGTACTTGTAGTCTGTGGACTTTACTTATGGTGTGTACAATTAATTATTTAAAGTGAAAAAATTGAAATACAGAGTAATTTACTTAAGAGACACCCTATATGTTACGTATGGTTAGTGTGGTACGCCTGATATTACTAAAGCAACAGCGCCTTAAATGTCAAACGGCAGTAATCTTAACCTCGCGAAGTGATATGACGAATTTAATTTTTCATTTGGAACACAAATTTAATCTTTTAATTGGTGAATCATGCAGTAATCATACTAGAAAATGTCATGCAGTTCATTAAACTTCAGTCACAGTTTAACGATTTTCAATTTATACAATTTCATAACATTTTGAGGAGGTTAAGTTAATAATATTTACAAGTGCAGATTGGGACACCCACTTTTATTTAATCTAAACACCGAAATGACGCACTTCCAAGCGAGGGCCTTGTACGATTTTACAGGAGAGCCAAATACGGCCGAAATGACGATTACGGCCGGTGAAACATTAACAGTGACCAGAACGGATGTCGGAGAAGGATGGTGGGAAGGTTTAAACGCCCAGGGTAAATCTGGCTTGTTTCCTCAAGCTTATGTGGAGAAAGTGGCGAGTGGTTCGGGCCCGCCCCCTATGCCTGCACCGGTTTTGCTACCCCAAAGCTTTTCGGATGATTGGGGCGACGCGGGTGGCAATCAAACTTCTCAGGATAACGACGGTTGGGACGACGACTGGGACGAGGATCCGTACTCGGAGATACCCAACAATAATAACATGCGGCAGCCACAGGAGAGTTTGTACGCTAACGAGAATGCCCTCATGCAGTTTAGTAAGGGCGATTCGGACACAATTTCCGAGATGAGTTTTGGTGTAGATAATAAGGGGACAGTGACGAAGAAGAGTTTTAACAGGTTTTCCACGTTTGTCAAATCAGGGGGTGAGAGTTATATTTTAGGTAATTTGAAAGTGCACGTCGAAGACAGTAATAAGATTTCCATACTGAAGTTGGATGATGGCATTTGCTGTTGGTCTCCGATACCGGCGTCAGAGGCCTATACTGTAGTTGTGGCTTCTCCAAAGAAGGAATCGAAACTGAAAGGTCTCAAAAGTTTTATCGCCTATCAGCTGACGCCCTCCTTCAATAAAATTCAGGTCTCGCGTAGATACAAACATTTTGATTGGCTGCACGAGCGGCTAACTGAGAAATTCAGTTTAATTGCGGTCCCTCCGCTTCCGGACAAGCAAATTTCAGGCCGGTACGAGGAACAGTTCATCGAGCATAGGAGAACCCAGCTGCAGGAGTTTGTGGATTGGATGTGTCGACATCCTGTCTTATCTAATTCGGAAGTGTGGCGTCATTTTTTGACTTGCACCGATGACAAGTTGTGGAAGCAGGGCAAACGACAGGCGGAGAAAGATCCACTTGTCGGTGCCAACTTCTGTTTATGTATTGAAGCGCCCGATAAGAATTTGTTGCAATCTTTCGTCGACGAAACCATCGAGACCAACACAAACTTCATTCACAATTTAGACACGGCCGTTAAAAATTTGCAGGGCACCGCTTCTGATCAGGCGAGAAAATACGGGGGTGCTTTCAAAAAAGAATACACAAAAGTCGGGGAGAGCTTCTACAGTCTGGGAACTGCAATCGAATCGGCAGAAAAGGCAACCCCCAGCGACTTAGCGACTGGAATAAAACGAATAGGCACAGCATATTTCGAAATAGGCAAAATATTCGAGGACCAACCGAAACTGGACTGGGAACCCTTCCTTGATAAACTCTACATGTATAAGGGAATTACCGGTTCGTTTCCGGACATCTTCGCGATCCACAAGGGGGCGCAGCAGAAAAGGAAAGAGTGCGAAAAATTGAATACTCCACCAGCACAACTATCCGAGGTACGGAAACGTACCGACACCGTCAGCTATGCTATTTTTGCCGAACTGCAGCACTTCAAGGAGGAGAGGGATGTGTTTTTAAAAGACGCCATGAAGTTGTATCTAAATCAGCAGATAAATTTTTATAAACGAATTGTGGACAAATTAGAAAATACCCTGCACGCATTTGAGTAGACGATCTGTAATCATTTTACAATTTTTTATACGATAATTTAAGGTACAGTACAAAAGTATGTAAGATTTTATTTTCTTATGAAGCTCAAATATTCCAATAACGAAGCGGTAATTTTTTTTCATTTTTAATTCACCAAAAATTTTAAACCAAAAAAATGTACACTCGCGTTAGATATAAATTTACTTTATTTTTATTATGTATACACTTTTTACATGAAATTGGATGTTACCTGGGTTTAGTGATTATGCCTACCTATTTAATAGTGCTGTGGTAATAATTGTTTAATTAATAATTTTACTCGTTTAATTTTTATATCTGTATGTATGAAATAATTTCCAATGCTATAATTAATTATATTTTACGAAATATAATCATAATAATTGTATATTTTTGTTAAAACGATATTAGGGAAATATAGAGCTTTATCGAAAGTTAACCTTCTTTTATTTAAATGGTATGAGTAATATGTGCTGCTATCTTTGTAGAATAGGTACCCAGAAAATTCTTCAAAAATGTTGAGGACCAAGAACTTTGTAGCCCAATGAGTCTAATCGTTTTACCCTTGATTCATGAAAATTTTACGCATATTTCAAGAAAAATTGAACTTTTTCCTAATGGCTTTTTGATGCAGTCTTAACTAAACGGATCAGGACATGTTGCAGATATTTTCCTGTACAAACATCTCCTTGGGGGAAAACTTAAGAGAGCAGCTTTTTGGGGGACAGCTCTCAGGTCGTGCTGACTTGACCACTCCATTGTGGACTCATTTGAACAGGAATGGGTGCCAAGACGCTCAATAACCAGTCTTGCTGGTGGAGGGCGTTTTAAAAGCAGAAAACTTAGTTGGACAAGCAGTTCAATAAGGCAACAAGAGCAAAGCTATAGCATTGTATATTTATTTACTACCCCTCTCTTATTCTGGGCCCTCAACAGGCTTGCGCCCAATTACAGTTTGAATGTATTCGAATTCTAATACTATCAAAGGTATTAATACAGTAAAATGGTTTCTAGTCTATAACTTTTGATTGAGAAGTCTGATCGAAAAAGTACGAATTGTTTTGGATTCTACGCACCAAAATTAATAAGAAAAAGTGTTTTCCCGAGAAATTTTGGTGCAGTCGATTTTTGGTAAAAAAGGAAGGTTATACACTGCCTTTTTTTGAGGCCCGAAAAAAAAATTCTCAGATCGACCCGGAAAAAAAATTTTCTTATAGAATGTGGCCTATAGAATCCATAATTTCAAACAGTTCCAAGATTGGGCTACTAGTTCAAAAGTTACAGCCCTTTGAATTTTCTTTCGAAATTGGTTTCTAGTCTATAACTTTTGATTGAGAAGTCTGATCGAAAAAGTACGAATTGTTTTGGATTCTACGCACCAAAATTAATAAGAAAAAGTGTTTTCCCGAGGAATTTTGGTGCAGTCGATTTTTGGTAAAAAAGGAAGGTTATACACTACCTTTTTTTGAGGCCCTCAAAAAAAATTGTCTCAGATCGACCCGGAAAAAATTTTTCTTATAGAATGTGGCCTATAGAATCCATAATTTCAAACAGTTCCAAGATTGGGCTACTAGTTCAAAAGTTACAGCCCTTTGAATTTTCTTTCGAAATTGGTTTCTAGTCTATAACTTTTGATTGAGAAGTCTGATCGAAAAAGTACGAATTGTTTTGGATTCTACGCACCAAAATTAATAAGAAAAAGTGTTTTCCCGAGAAATTTTGGTGCAGTCGATTTTTGGTAAAAAAGGAAGGTTATACACTGCCTTTTTTTGAGGCCCGAAAAAAAAATTGTCTCAGATCGACCCGGAAAAAAATTTTCTTATAGAATGTGGCCTGTAGAATCCATAATTTCAAACAGTTCCAAGATTGGGCTACTAGTTCAAAAGTTACAGCCCTTTGAATTTTCTTTCGAAATTGGAAGTCTATAACTTTTTATTGAGAAGTCTGATCGAAAAAGTACGAATTGTTTTGGATTCTACGCACCAAAATTAATAAGAAAAAGTGTTTTCCCGAGAAATTTTGGTGCAGTCGATTTTTGGTAAAAAAGGAAGGTTATACACTGCCTTTTTTGAGGCTCGAAGAAAAAATTGTCTCAGATCGACCCGGAAAAAAATTTTCTTATAGAATGTGGCCTGTAGAATCCATAATTTCAAACAGTTCCAAGATTGGGCTACTAGTTCAAAAGTTACAGCCCTTTGAATTTTCTTTCGAAATTGGTTTCTAGTCTATAACTTTTGATTGAGAAGTCTGATCGAAAAAGTACGAATTGTTTTGGATTCTACGCACCAAAATTAATAAGAAAAAGTGTTTTCCCGAGAAATTTTGGTGTAGTCGATTTTTGGTAAAAAAGGAAGGTTATACACTGCCTTTTTTTGAGCCCCGAAAAAAAATTGTCTCAGATCGACCCGGAAAAAAATTTTCTTATAGAATGTGGCCTGTAGAATCCATAATTTCAAACAGTTCCAAGATTGGGCTACTAGTTCAAAAGTTACAGCCCTTTGAATTTTCTTTCGAAATTGGTTTCTAGTCTATAACTTTTGATTGAGAAGTCTGATCGAAAAAGTACGAATTGTTTTGGATTCTACGCACCAAAATTAATAAGAAAAAGTGTTTTCCCGAGAAATTTTGGTGCAGTCGATTTTTGGTAAAAAAGGAAGGTTTACACTGCCTTTTTTTGAGCCCCGAAAAAAAAATTGTCTCAGATCGACCCGGAAAAAAAATTTTCTTATAGAATGTGGCCTGTAGAATCCATAATTTCAAACAGTTCCAAGATTGGGCTACTAGTTCAAAAGTTACAGCCCTTTGAATTTTCTTTCGAAATTGGTTTCTAGTCTATAACTTTTGATTGAGAAGTCTGATCGAAAAAGTACGAATTGTTTTGGATTCTACGCACCAAAATTAATAAGAAAAAGTGTTTTCCCGAGAAATTTTGGTGCAGTCGATTTTTGGTAAAAAAGGAAGGTTATACACTGCCTTTTTTTGCCCGAAAAAAAAATTGTCTCAGATCGACCCGGAAAAAAATTTTCTTATAGAACGTGGCCTATAGAATCCATAATTTCAAACAGTTCCAAGATTGGGCTACTAGTTCAAAAGTTACAGCCCTTTGAATTTTTTTTAAAAATTGGTTTCTAGTCTATAACTTTTGATTGAGAAGTCTGATCGAAAAAGTACGAATTGTTTTGGATTCTACGCACCAAAATTAATAAGAAAAAGTGTTTTCCCGAGAAATTTTGGTGCAGTCGATTTTTGGTAAAAAAGGAAGGTTATACACTGCCTTTTTTTGAGCCCCGAAAAAAAATTGTCTCAGATCGACCCGGAAAAAATTTTTTCTTATAGAATGTGACCTGTAGAATCCATAATTTCAAACAGTTCCAAGATTGGGCTACTAGTTCAAAAGTTACAGCCCTTTGAATTTTCTTTCGAAATTGGTTTCTAGTCTATAACTTTTGATTGAGAAGTCTGATCGAATAAGTACGAATTGTTTTGGATTCTACGCACCAAAATTAATAAGAAAAAGTGTTTTCCCGAGAAATTTTGGTGCAGTCGATTTTTGGTAAAAAAGGAAGGTTATACACTACCTTTTTTTGAGCCCCGAAAAAAAAATTGTCTCAGATCGACCCGGAAAAAAAATTTTCTTATAGAATGTGGCCTGTAGAATCCATAATTTCAAACAGTTCCAAGATTGGGCTACTAGTTCAAAAGTTACAGCCCTTTGAATTTTTTTTCGAAATTGGTTTCTAGTCTATAACTTTTGATTGAGAAGTCTGATCGAAAAAGTACGAATTGTTTTGGATTCTACGCACCAAAATTAATAAGAAAAAGTGTTTTCCCGAGAAATTTTGGTACAGTCGATTTTTGGTAAAAAAGGAAGGTTATACACTGCCTTTTTTTGAGGCTCGAAAAAAAAATTGTCTCAGATCGACCCGGAAGAAAAATTTTCTTATAGAATCCATAATTTCAAATAGTTCCAAGATTGGGCTACTAGTTCAAAAGTTACAGATTAGGGAATTTTATTTGAAAAGATGCTCGCACGAACAAAAATTTACGTGTTTCGTGCTTTTCAAAAATAATACTCTTCTCTAGTATAGCTTTTTCTACGTATGTATACATACGTATACTTTGTAATTTGAAATTGAGGTAGATTTTGAAAAACCATGTCCATGCATCAGTAGACGACAACTATCCAAATCACTCCAAAAAGTCTTTGGAGGAATGATCGCAGGCTTTTTCAATACAGCTCAGAAAAGTTTCCAATATGGGAGCATCAATATTTCAATTACGAAATTCGGGTCAATAAAAAGATTTTATTTGAATTTTCTAGTAAATGTACCTATTTACTTTGTAAATAAGTAAGTATTGCCATTTTGATAGCTTCTGATGAGAAAGCAAAGCAGTTAATAAAAAACTATATTTTTGTTTCAGATTTCTCATCTACTCCTTTAAACTAGAATGGCCCGAAACAGGAGATCAAGCGAATGTTGTTCAGCTTACTGTTTGAAATCCACTCTTTATATTTTCAACATTATATACCTGGTACGTTACTTGAGAGTAACTTCAAAATTATTACAATTTTCAGCTTGCAGGACTGGCAATCGTAGGTGTGGGAGTATGGACAATAGCCGATAGATATAAATATGTCGAACTGTTATCAACAGTAACGTATCCCGTCATAACCTACTTTTTACTGGGAGCAGGAGGACTGGTGCTGCTTGTAACCCTTATGGGCTGCTGTGCCATTTGGTTCAATAATAGGCCGTACTTAATTTGTGTAAGCTTCAAGTATGCGTATGTCTTAATCATCCGTTCAATTGCAGTACATATTTTTACTGTCGTTTATATTTTTAACCGAAATCATGGTAGGGGTACTGGCTTATATCTATCAGGAGCAAGTCCAAAATGAATTGGAATTAAATTTGAACACCACGTGCCTCAGTAACTACAGAATAGACGAACAGAAAACGGAGGCGATTGATTTTCTTCAGGAGAAATTCCACTGTTGCGGGGTCCTCAGCTTTGAAGACTGGAAGTATAGTGTCTGGAGGAAGCAGAATTTGTCAGGTGATAATTTAGTACCAGACTCGTGTTGCAAGACGATCACGCCTAATTGCGGTGCTATAATCCGCCCTTCTAATATCAACTACAATGTCGGTATCTAAATTTAGACGATAAGTTTTTAATGATTTGTTTCAGAGCTGCTTAACTAAAATGGCCGATCATATGCGGGGCCATTTATTTATCTTGTGCGTGGTAGGGTTGGGTATTTGCTGCATACAAATATTTGGCATTATTTTTTCTTGTCAACTTTATTTTAAGTTAAAAGATTATCTTGATTATCTGTAAAATAAATTTTATGTTAAAACTTTTCTTATAATCTTTAAGTGTCAACAATATATTTCTCCATGGTCTTCAGATGGTTATAGAAAAGGTCTTCTAAAGACGAAAATGCAATTATGACCCATCCCACTATTGCAAAAACCGATCTCCAATACGACAAGTTGCTCCAATGCGTCCACTCGGCCTCTGTGATCTAAAAAATCAAGAGTAAGGGTAGTTCAGATGGCATAAATCGACTCACATTTACAAATGATATGTTGTTATTGAGTGGGATTAATCCCACCTTATCGTCCAGTTCGGCGGTTACCAAATGTAATAGGAAGCAGACTGCGTAAATTACTACAAGCACCGCAGTTTTTCTACTACTACATATATCTGGAAGGTGCGTTATTGATATATGGGAAATGTCGTATCTACAACAAAAAAAAAACACCATTATAACATGTTTGATCTTTCCACTAATTCTATAAAGTTGTTTGGCTTTTATTAGAGAATTTTTAATACTATATTAGGAATTGAGATAAATCCTGTACGTACCGATCAAAAACAGAGACCACGCAAATAGCACCAAGGATAAAAAACAAGCATGTGTAAAGATCACTGTAATTAGCATAATAGCTCACAATTTCTTCCTCAAAAGCCCAATCATTTCTGTAAAAATAAAAATAGTGGGCTAAAGCTAATCCACCCAGAAAGCCATGACAGAGCAGAGTGAGAGGCCTCCAACATCTTTGGGCGAGTATAGCTAAATGTAGAGGATGATACTCCAGGAAGCTACAAAGGGCGCGTTAATTAAAACTTGAGGGGCGATTTTTACATACCTTCTCTCACAAGATTCGTCATTTGCCATATTTCCTCTAAAAGAGTTAGCTTCGTTACTTCTGTAGGAGATCTCGAATTTATTCTTCCTTTGTATGTACAATTTATCAGATTTTCTTGGGCTTTTCTTCATTCGCTCCGAACGTACAAATTCGTCAGGGCCATTTTCGAAAACGTCATCCTGTAGCTCTTCCAACGCCAACGTGATTTCATTTTTTGGCTCGTAATCGTCGTCTCGCTTCTTGTGCTTGCGTTTTCCAGAGCTGGAGGACAACGGCGAGTATTCGCGCTTTTTCTTTTTGCTTTTTCGTTTTTCCTTCGGAATCATCATCTCCCTGCTGTCACCCAACCCCAACTCCGGTTCGGAATGCTTCTTCTTCCTTGATTTTGACTTTTTACCCCCATTTAACATTTCATCGTTTTCTCTACAGAGTGCATCCTGTAAGTTATTGTAGGCGTTTCGCTCCAAGTCCAGGTCGCCGTACTCTTTTCTGCGTTTGTAGTGTTTGCGCTCTTCTGGACTAAGAAGTTCTAAATTACCCGAGAGTTCTTCGGGAATCTTCTCCTCTTCGTAAAAACTTAAACTTTGAGGTCGCGAGTCTGTAAAATGAGAAATTTTATTTATATCCCTTCTCATTTCCGTTTCGATCAAATTGAGAATTTTCGAATTAATTTGCGATTCTCCATCCACCGAAACATCTCGACTAGGCGTCCGCAAACTGTAGTTATCATTCTTATCTTCTAAAATAAAGGTTTTGTTGCACTCGCTCGTATCCGCGATGTTATTAATATTTTCCCTCTCCTCGCTTTGGTCCCGTTTCACGCACTTGTGAACTTGCGCCACAATTTCTTGCTTCATTTCGTCTTTTTGCCTCTGCTTTCGGGGATTCGGTAATATTTTGCTACTCATTTCTATAGCAAAATTTATTTAACGCCATTTCTGATTGATATCACGAACTGGCAGCTCGAATTATTGATCAAATGCGCGGAAAACAAGCGGGAAGTATTGATTTAAGTACAGTATACTTCAATGGACTGATAAAGTTGAGGACCGATAGGTGGCTCAACGTTTATCACTCTATTTTTTTATATGACTAAAAAAGTACATACAGCATTGAGTAGCATTTTTAATTACTAAAGCCGGTAACAAAATTAACAAACTTTGTTATTCGGATATAATGAGATTGTTGTTACTCGACTTGTTTGTTGGAAAGAAGAACCACGTCAAATAAGTGCATTCTCAAATGCCTTACGCGGTACCATTAGTTTGGAAACTTCATAAAATGGAAGTTTCGTATTTCTATACTTATTTTCTTTACCTCACAGATGTTTGTCCAGAAGTAATTAAACGCTTAAAATGTAATTAGTTTAATCAACACCATTAACACATACTTCGCATAATTTGAAGCAAGTGTGTTATTTTCTATTTTTTCCCAATTCTACATTAATGTGTTAAACGTGTCGTTAAGAGGGGAAAAGAGAAAGGGTTACGCATGTTTCGAAGACGATTTTTTAGTCCATCGCAATTAGGGAATTAGTGTAACACGCAATGAAATTTTGGGTTTTTGTCTTTTGTGTTTTCGGCGTTAACGGCCAAAACAGGGAAGAGGTGAGTACCAAATCTCAAACTTCCTCACTCTGTTTTGATATATTAAAAATTTAGGGAACACTGGAATATAAACTGAATGGCATGGAAATTATTTCCTTGAACGATGTCGCGCCAACACCGATTGATTCTGAAAATCAAGATGCTGCGAATAATTCAAACGTAAGTCTCTTCATATTGAGAATATAAATGGTTATTAGTTTGTAAAGCCTTCCAGTCAACCAATAGACCGCAATGAAGATGAAAGTTTCATTGTAAAGAGATTGATTGAAATGTTGATGCAAGCAACAGCCGGTACCGCTGAAAATTCAACTGAGACTGCCATTTCAGTGGATAATTCAACTGAAGTTGCGCCCCATACAACCAATCCGGCAAATGTTCTCATACAACAGTTGCAATCCCTACCGCATCCCGTAATTGATCAACTGCTTCAGTTGTTAAACGTTTCTTTTTCGAATGAGACCACCGAATACGAAGGTACAACCCCACACGCAATTGACAATGACATCGACAGTATAGAATCTACAACCGTTATGGAAAAGACTGCAAGATCCGCTAACCCCGAACCTTATTTTTTGCCTGTTGCTATCTTTAGCAATAGTTCGTCGGGATCGCAAGTGGTTTCCAGCTCAAATACGTCGACGCCTTTGCCGAACGTTACCGCATCCACCACTTCCCCGCCGACGACTATGACCTACAACAGATACGATGCAGGATCAGACAACGTCAAAGAAGGATACATCCCCGATTATTTCGTTTTTGCAGTTCTTCGAAACGGTACAATAATTCGGAAGCGACCGAATCGCGTTGTTCCCAACGTATTTTATATGTTTTTGGAGGACGGTACTTTGATACAGAAATTTCCAAATGGCAGTACGTCGGTGGTACCATTGGCTCCCGTTATTCAAGTTACTGGGTTTGATACCCGTGAATTTCCTGCGTCTGAAAATGGAAACGAAACGAAATCCTCCCTCGTAAACATGACAACGGTGAGTGTTTTGTTAATTGTACTCCGAGAGTAATGGTCCAATTAGGTTGAACCGGAATCCACTCCTAGCTCCTTCGAAATTCGTCTAGGCGTCGAGGATGCTACCGAAACAGTAGGTGATGTGAACACAACCCAGACAACATCAAGCTCTGAAGGATCAATGGAAACAACCCAAGCGAGCACTACACCTCTTTCAACAACAGCCAGCGTGAAGAGCACTACTTCGACTTCACCAACAACAAGAGGCGAAGAAATGACTGCGCCTCCATTCACTAATCCCATTGAAAGCGACGATGGAGAATTGGTGATCACGGAAGCAGTAACGTCACCTACGACGCTAATGGGCAATGGTTCTACGCTCCCGTTACCTTCAGGTAGATCGATTGATTTGTCAATTGCTGGCCCTTTGTTAATAAACACAACGTCTGCAACAACTCAGCATTTGCCCGGAAACTTCCATTTAAAGGACGAGGAAAAACGTGACTTGCTGCTAATTGAATCGCTCATCAAAAAGCAACAAGCCGTCTTGGAACAATTAACCACGCTAACCAAACTGGTATGACTTCTACGTTCAAACGAATTCGTGACCTTTTTTTTTTAGAGAATAGAGAATGCCCAACCTCAACCGTCTGAATCGCTGGCGCAGAGGGTTTGTAGTATTTAACGTAAGAAACGTAAGATTCTTTTTTAAAGCAGTTTGTTAGGTTATATCGTCGGTTGCGGATATGACAACAACGTCCGTTGAGCCAAGCTCGCCCTCCACCACTTCGGTGAGCCTAATCCGTTGAGTAATTGATCATTATGCAAAACGTTTTCAGTCGCCCTCTACAGTAACGCCCGCCCAACCGACGCACCAAGACAAAAAGAAAGAACCTCCAATAACTCGGAAGCAAATTCAACTTTTAATACAGCAACTGGAAGCAATCCGGAAAAATCCCGCCCAAGTTAAGAAGCTCGATTTGAGCGCGCTCAAAAAATTGCAAAAATTTGAGAACGTAATGACGATGAAGACGCCTAGACAGAAGAGCGTACACGTAACTAATGATACCAAACGAATCGATTTGTTACAAGCCCCCGAAATACGGGCGCAACTATCGGATTATGCCGTAAACATTTCTAAAGCGATATCTTCGTTTTTCGGATCTGCACTTCAGGTGAATGCCAAACCAATTTGGCCACATTTTTCAATTTTTGTTTACAGGATGCGTCCGAAAAATTCGTAAGTTCCCTCAGAATGAACTCGTCAGAAATACTTTCGGGTCTTACGGCTGGTTGATGGGACAAAAGTGGGAGACTTGAGCATCAAGTATGTCTGCAATTTTTAGGAGAATTCCAGAAGTGTAACTAGAAATGCCAAAAAGTTCTTTTTAATAGAAATAATTAAATTCAATATGTCGAATTTTCTGTATGTGTACCTATCTGATTTGGTTAAAACCAGTACTGCCACATTTAGTTACTCGGTTAGAGTTACATATTCACTACTTAGTCAGGATGGAAACACGTCTCAAAGGAGGTTTTCAATACGAGCTCCCTGCAGACCTATAAAAAGTGTTAGTAAGAAATGGAAAAATCGAACAAATTCCCACCTTTTACACGAAATCGTGGCTAAAAATTCGGTTCACAACTAACGGAGATGTCAAAGTAGCCTTCCTTATTTTTGGCCTACATTGCCAATTATGATATAATCGGTTCAGTGGTTTACGAGATATCGTACGGACGGATGGACGGACAGACACAGCAAAATTATAAACTCGCTAGGAGATGGTTAATAAATAATGTTAATACGCCTCGATACCCCACTTTGGTCTTCTAATATGTATGAGTATGGTTTTCTCAAACATTACCAAATTGCTAACGGAAATTATTTTACTTACGTGCGATTTTGGAATTGATATATGGCCAATTCTGCGTTTCGTAAGCTTTTGGAAGTGAAAACTGTCCAATCCGATCGAAATTGGACCAGGTGTCAATGTCGTTAGCAAAAATGCCGAAATTTGGTAACTTCCTATAAATAACGTCCTTCGGTATCATTAATCTGTAACAATATTGACTATAGTAGGTCCGTTAACATTTAAAATTCATGTTTATTAAACCACTTTTTTAAATTAGGTAGCTTTAATGTCACCTCAAGGAAGCCGATATTTAAATTAATAATATTATACAATATGTTTTATCGTTATATGCCGCAGCGTATAAAGTTTATAAATGTCATTATCTCATTTGCATTGTTAGATAATGTATGCGCTTAGAAAAAAAAGACAATACTAATTAAACGCCCTTAATATCAATAATTTCTAACGAATTCTACAGGTTTTTATTGGTGCCAGACTATGGCATTTAACCTAACAGATACCAATAGACTAATTTAATATTTTACTTACCTTCTCATTAGAATAAATTGCAGAGTTACCTATATAGTTATACTATAAATCTTAGTCAGGGTTACCATCATTGACAAGAAGTGAAGTTTTTGTGCTAGTAATAGTTTGCTGCGAATTAAATGTAAATTTGGAAAATATACTGATTTTCTACGTTGACGTAACTGGGTCGAAATACTGCATAGGTTACCAATTATCATTGTGCAAGTCCTTACATGTTCTGTAGCAATTTAACATAAACCTCACTTTTACGGAAAATGAAAATAAAAACAATTACTCGCACTTGTAACATACAAAAATTATACATTTAAATAAAGAATAATATGGCCTTAATGGTTTTTGCACATACTATGAAATGCAGTTTCATGTGCTATTTACCAAGTGAAACTCAAATTCAAAGTTTATATAAGTACATTTACAGATGCAAAGTAAGAGTAGGTATTACCTATAAAAAGGATATTTTAGTACAAATCGCATCGTTCGCGTGCTTCGTAGCCGTAAGGGCCTGGCACCACTATTCCTTGGATTCAAAGCGAAAAAGTTTCTGAGAGTGAAACTTATGAAATTCCAGTGTCTTGAATAGCGGAAAATGATAACCCAAACTAAAACTGTCAGTCGTAGTATTTGAGAAGAAAGTTACAAATAAATTCTCAAATATCAGTTCTGAAAAGGCCGCAAGAAGTAAACTTTTGAATCCTTTTTCTCAAAATTTGCGACGTCCGAATTGTGCCGTTTTCAAATTTATACAAATTTCACGCTGTCTTCGGGGGTTGCAAATACCTACCAAGATTTCAGATTAAAAAACAGCCCAATTTTAGAACTCGAACTATTTAGGGATAGATTTGATATAATAATTTTTGAGATCTTGATATTCCCAAACGAATTTTGAAATTATTTCTTTGAATTTCAGAAGTATACAACATTCCAGAGGAGTTTTAAGGGATGAAGGCCGTAGAACTTTGATATTCTCAGATTAACGAAACTTCAAATTTGTAGTCGCAAGATTTGAAATGTTTTTACGGGTTGATGTTCCAAAAATATATTTGCCAAACTCAAAAAGCGAGAGGTTTAAAATTTATGCGTCTATAAAACAAAGGTCAAGTGGTACAACTACCTACACAATTCCATTGATCATAACTCGAGAACAAAGACGAATGTTCGAATCTGTTTTGGCCAACAAATAGATACTAAACTAAAGCTGGGATGAGTTCCTTAATCAGTCAAATTGGTTACCGTTTGGAGGTAAACGGTAATACTGGTTACACGTATTTACAAGGGTTTATTAACGGCAGAAATAAACAATCTAAGAACACTGTATCGATTAAAAAAAAACTTAAATTCTTGAGAAAGTATTTTGCAGCTACAATTATTAGGACCCCGCAGTTTCTACATGGCAAATGCCGTAACAGGTAGATCTTTCTGGTAGGTAAAAATACGAGTTTCGAATCGATTATATAGTAAAAGATTAGTTTCATCAAGCGGCGTATCTGCAGGCGAAATACGCTAAGCGGCTAAGCAATACCGCAACTTTACCATAGTCTATGCTACTATTCGTTTTATCGCATGAAAAGTAATTATTTTTTGCAAATTGGTCGTACTATGGGGCGGTGTGCTTGATTATTGCATTAATTATTACGTTTGCCACAAATATGTGCAATAAAATGTCCCTTAAAAAAATTTAGGCGATTTCAATAGTGAAATTTAGTTTTTACTTCTCACAGTATGTGTGTTACAACGGTGTGTGCATATATACATCGAATGAATTAAATTTCTGCGGGTAGTCCGATGTTTCCCGGGAAAACCGATTTGTAACGCTGCTCAGACAGTAAACCGATACGGTGATATTCCCAAGACAGAAGAAGCTCTTGTTGGTATCACCAATACCTCTGATTTCAGAGAGACCGGAGAGTGTCATCGTACCTCTCAAAGCTACCGTGGAATCGACTATGGCTACCTTTTTTACAACCTACATACATTAATAGCTTTACTACCCAACGTTTTTCCTCCGAAGGGTAACAAAACGATATATTTCAGGTCTTGTCTAGACTTGACCATAGTGAGATTTCGCCCCCTTTCTACACTCTCCCTAGGTAGATATTCTACTTCTTGAGACGGGATCAGAACCGACTTTTCGCGATTTATCGACCATCCTAGCTCTTCTAGGTATCTGACTGAGTGGGTAACGTCCTGCATGCACTCATCTGGATCTTGAAAAATCGTCGAGTCTAGTTAATTAAAAATCCACGTGTGAAGTTTTCACCCTCACTATCCTTTCATGCCACTTTTCTAAATGTTGCTACTGAATCTATCGGCATTTATCTTTTTTAACCTTTATCTGCCACAAATTTAGTTGACTAATTTTTTCACAAAAAAAATTAAATATCAAACACTTTCCATAAAAATAATAATTTCGGTATTAATTATTTTATAGGTTGTCTCATTAATTATACATGATATGCACTAATTTTCATAATCAACGATTTTCATAAATTACCAAGTTTTTGGGAGACACACGCTAAATGTTCACAATTCCCACGTTCTCAGTTAAAGAGCATGCAAAATTCGTTAATTGCACACGTTGCAAACAAAATGTACAAAACAACGAATTATTTCCTAGCAGTGCCAAACGTGATAAATGAAGTTGCAGCACTGATTGCACAATTTAAGATGAATATTCAGTCAAACATCGAATCGCCTTCTTAATCTTGTTGATTAATGGTTTAAATTTATTTCTTGGAGAAATGGCATATATGTTACATAATCTTGACGAGGTATTTCAAAAATTAAAATTTTCACATTGGCAGTAGGTACAATCAGGATTATAGTGTAAAAAGTTTGCAAATTCAAATATACTTTATCGTCTTTTCAATAAAAGAGTAAAATGATACATAGACAAAATCATTGTAAAGAAACACAGGAATTTCGCACACTTTGGTATTGCATCTAAGCTAAAAGTTCACAAATTTTGCATCGTGCCGTGATTGGTAGAGTCCGTGACTATGCAATTATAGAAATAAGGATGCCTCAACCTCAACCTTTAGATTAATCAATGCACGAACGGAAAGATAAATATTTTAATTTATCGTTATTACAATAAATAATAATTAACCACTTTTTAGGGTTACATTTATGATGCAATCGAAAATTAATTCGTGGGAGATGTACAGGGTGACACATTCTTATGATATTTACACGTTCTCGCGACGAAGTGACTTTCACTCTTAAAATCTGTAAGGTAATTTGAGATGACTTCTAGTCCATATTGAGACGTCCGATCGAAAAAGTACGAATTGTTTAAGATTCTCCGTGCCAAAATTAATAAGAAAAAGTGTTTTCCCGAGAATTTTGGTGCAGTCGATTTTTGGTAAAAAAGGAAGGTTATACACTGCCTTTTTTTGAGCCCCGAAAAAAAAATTGTCTCAGATCGACCCGGAAAAAAATTTTCTTATAGAATGTGGCCTGTAGAATCCATAATTTCAAACAGTTCCAAGATTGGGCTACTAGTTCAAAAGTTAAAGCCCTTTGAATTTTCTTTCGAAATTGGTTTCTAGTCTATAACTTTTGATTGAGAAGTCTGATCGAAAAAGTACGAATTGTTTTGGATTCTACGCACCAAAATTAATAAGAAAAAGTGTTTTCCCGAGAAATTTTGGTGCAGTCGATTTTTGGTAAAAAAGGAAGGTTATACACTGCCTTTTTTGAGGTCCGAAAAAAAATTGTCTCAGATCGACCCGAAAAAAATTTTCTTATAGAATGTGGCCTGTAGAATCCATAATTTCAAACAGTTCCAAGATTGGGCTACTAGTTCAAAAGTTACAGCCCTTTGAATTTTCTTTCGAAATTGGTTTCTAGTCTATAACTTTTGATTGAGAAGTCTGATCGAAAAAGTACGAATTGTTTTGGATTCTACGCACCAAAATTAATAAGAAAAAGTGTTTTCCCGAGAAATTTTGGTGCAGTCGATTTTTGGTAAAAAAGGAAGGTTATACACTGCCTTTTTTTGAGCCCCGAAAAAAAATTTGTCTCAGATCGACCCGGAAAAAATTTTCTTATAGAATGTGGCCTGTAGAATCCATAATTTCAAACAGTTCCAAGATTGGGCTACTAGTTCAAAAGTTAGAGCCCTTTGAATTTTTTTTCGAAATTGGTTTCTAGTCTATAACTTTTGATTGAGAAGTCTGATCGAAAAAGTACGAATTGTTTTGGATTCTACGCACCAAAATTAATAAGAAAAAGTGTTTTCCCGAGAAATTTTGGTGTAGTCGATTTTTGGTAAAAAAGGAAGGTTATACACTGCCTTTTTTTGAGGCCCGCAAAAAAATTGTCTCAGATCGACCCGGAAAAAAATTTTTCTTATAGAATGTGGCCTGTAGAATCCATAATTTCAAACAGTTCCAAGATTGGGTTACTAGTTCAAAAGTTACAGCCCATTGAATCTTCTTTCGAAATTGGTTTCTAGTCAGGGGCGGGCCAGGTGGAATTGCATAGGTAGTAATGAAGGTGGCGGGAGTGGGGGGGGGTAGCTCTGCGGTGCACCACAAAAACATTTTTTGCTTCATTTTAAGGTACTCCTTTTTCGGAAATCAATTACAATACAGTTTTTTTAAATTGCAGCAAGTAACAACAAAATATACAATCCAAACGAGGCGCGTCGCCTATCATTGTATTTCAGCACTTTCATGCTACGACAAAAAATGATAAATTCATTGTAAAACACTTCAATTAAAACAGAATTTTTTAACAACCTAACATCAACCCCAATTAGAGAAACGTGTTAATAACTTATTAATAGTGCAAGAAACTAAATACAGCACATACTTATAAATTTCCAACGGGCCATTATGACGTACAGGCCAGGTGGCAATCGCCACCCGCCCCCCCGGGCCAGTCCGCCCCTGGAGATGAGCTCTTACTTTAAACTGTAAAACTGTACCTTGCTTATTGAAATCGTGAGATTAAAGCATTTTTCAGGAATGTTCGTGAATAATTCGTTGCAATTGAAAGCAACACAGTACGCATACGACTTTTAAAGATTTTGGAGGTTCTGAACGCATCCGAAGATACATATGATCCTGAAGATCCAAGAAATGGTTAAATATTCCGAAGCTTCTCAACCTCTTCAAGTTCCTGGTGGCATAGAAACACATTTGAAAATTTTGTAGGTTCCCACAACGATTAATAATATGCTTAAAAGGCTCAATATTCTGAAAGCATTGCCGTCAAACATTTCTGGCGATTCTCTACATTCTAAAAAGATTGCAGATTCTGAATTAGATATCTGACATGAATTTCTGGTCACAGTGTACAAATGCTTGGATCAGTCAAGTCCTAAAAATATCGAGCTAACAGGTAACGTAAGTGACCAATATGACTGTACAACTACCTAACGTATCTCTAAGTAAGATCTCCCAGCAAATTACCATTAATTTACATAAATCTCCTTCTTCTTATTGTAAATTTCTTCTGTTTCTTCAGTCTGTTCGTCTTAACCTCTTCTGAGATTTTCAAAGATATTTCATATTCTGTCATTGTTAAAGGGTTTATAGTTTCCCAAGAAATTCAGTACACTCTGCGTGTTTAAAACAGTTGGAAAATTGCGAACGTTCTGAAAGTATATCGAACGCATTCGTATTCCTTGTATGAAGAAGTAAGGATTTATTTGAGCTTTTATTTTAAGCAGCTGTAGGGATTTTCCAACGGATTATGACAAATTTAATTGAAAGTTAAAGAGTTTCCGGTTTCAAATCCATAATTTTCCTTAGTATAAGCCAAATTTACCATATTAAAAAAAATGTAATTAAGCTTTAACGATCATTATGGATCTAAAGCAGATTAGCTACATGTAGGTATTACAGTCCGTTGAGATATGCACATACCTATACTCAAAATTTTAATGGTTCCAAATCCTACCATTATTTATGCAAAAAGTGCAAGAGAGGGGACGGGAGACTATTTCTCAAAATTATTTCGAATGGTGAAGAGGTGGCTACAATGAGTGTTCCAAGGTTTTATATATTTGTTTTGAAGTTTCGTTTTTGCGCAGAGTAAGACTTTAAGATAATAAATGCGATTTTACGATATTGATTATATTGGCATCATTTAAAGCCGCAGTAAATTAAGGAAAACTTATAGGTACAAATTGAATTAAGCAGAACTAGATTTTATGTTTTTGGTGTTTCAATTATCTGAACTTGTAAACAAAATAAAGTGTTTGACGAAAATTAATTTCGCTTAACGCCACCATGTATTTGTTGCAACAATTCAATATGGTACAGGTTTGGTCGTAGGAATTTTGCGCTAATGAAAGGAAAATAGCTACTGACTAACGTTAGAGTTTTAATGAATGCCAACGACCAAACTTTTGGAAATAATAATTACTCAGTCATCCGGCAGTCAATGCAACCTTGATTACCGTAAAATAGCTTAATTTAGAAAACAAACTTTTGTGAACTTTCACAAGAATTAATCACTTTAAAAGGTTTTTGATCTCATTGCCTTTCGGCATGGATCACCTACCTTCCCATTTAGATTAGGTAATTTGCGCATACTGGCTGCTTCTTTGCCTCACATCTAGATATAAATAATCTATCAAAGATCAGATTTCTATGCGGTTACCAAATTCATATGCAATTAACGCCACCTTGAATCGAGTGGCCCGATTTTTCAGGTCTCAGTGTTGCAATTAATGCTAATTAAAATTTTTAACGATCTTTGTTTATCGGGTGTAATGAAATATACACTTGCATTGGGTACGAGAGATTAAGTTTGTCGTTGTTGGCGTAGGTCTGAGTGGGGCAGCAGGAGAAAGGACAGCAGCTTGGACACCAGGTGAGAGGGAAACCTGCGATACGGTTTTTTTTTCGATTTCTTTTACCAATTTTTACATTACTTGGTGATTAGCCGTAGTACCCAATACGCAACGTTTCAGTGCGTCTATGGGTGACGAATCGACGCGGTCCTTTCGACAATGAGAATTTTACCCCAAGCTCTAAAACACTAAGAACTTATAATGCCATATATAAATTATCTGTGATTAATTAGACTTTTTTAAGGACTTAATACAGTTTAAGGTAGTGACTGTGATTCTAATGCGCCATGAAAGTGTTGTACGTGTTTTTACTTTTATGCATTTTGAGCATTTATGCCCAAAGGAGGTTAACGGTAAGCCTTTTGTTAAATAATAGTCCCATTCTCTTATGCAGAATATTTCGCACATGTCGGCGAGGTGCGCGCTTTTTTAAAATTGACCGCTACTTTCTAAGTTTTATATTTCTTACGCAATCACGCCGCATGTATCATTTTATAATATTAACAGAAAAGGCAAAGGCGGCAATAAAATTATTAGACGTCGTTGGATAGATTAAATGCAATTAAGATGATTGGTAAATATTAAAGTGTAAAGTGAAATCTGTAGATCAAAGTAAAGACTTTCCTATATTAATTTAGTTCTCAGTACGACAAATATAGTTCCTTGTAATATTTAGGTTTTAATTTCAACGAGCGTATGAAAGTTATTACGTAAGCGTTGCGAGCTTTCCAACCCCGTATTGAAATTGCATGTGAGAAAGTGGTACGGTTCTACTGGCCTGGCCCTTTCTTATTGCGCCACTATTAGGGCGATTTCCACAACTAATAAGCGGTTTTTGTTGAAATTTAAATATCTGAATAGCGTGACCCAAGTACTTCTATTTCTTTCAGGGATTAAACTTTGCGCAAACACTCAATTAATGAGGCGGAAATTCATTTCACTTCGCATGGATAGTTGCTACCAAAAATAATAGTTTCTTGTACTACTTATGACGAATCTGAAGGGTGCAAAGCAACCCCAACCGATCAGGAAGTAACGCACCGCGTTTAGCACTATTTAGCATTCATGACATGCATCGTTGCCCATTTCGCCTAAAACTATTTAAATGTCTGGCTCTTGTTTATAGAAAATGATAACAATAGGATGGAACGTTTAAAAGCTGAAAGTGAAATTTTAACCGTAGGTAATTTCAATCTCGGCTATGAACTGTAACCGTAACGAAACAAATGTATTTGTTATTATTTAAATCACTTGCGTCCTTGTACAATTTATATTAATTATACCAGAGCCAATACGAAAGTATAAGCAAACGACCTACAACTAGATAGTAATAAGAGTGCACGAAAATACAACCGGCACCGTGGATACTAATTTAAATCAATTTTAAATGATTAATCCAGTCTGCGAACATATTTGGAGCAATCACAGAAAACGAGTTCTTCGACTAAATGTCAAGAGAAAATTGTACAATTACACCCGATCCGGTTTCCAAAGGTCCCGCCAGTCGATTCATTTTTTCACGAAGAGGATTTCAAATTGTTTTCCGATGTTATCAAAACCTAATTAGAAAAATGTTAATAATGGTATCGATAGTAGACGGCCGTGAGTTTTTGGTGAACGTGTCGTTCAAAAACGTGTTTATCGGCAATCGTCAAGATTTTTTTTAATTATTTCGGCCAGCAAAAATCGGCGGAAACGACGGAATTAAGGGCGTGGTATTTAAAAGGTTAACAAGGGTCTCGACAGAAAAATCTGTTGGAAAAATGTCATCAATGTTGTTAAAGTGACCTTCGATGGGTTTTTATATCGTAGGTAATTACATGGAATTTTCTTCGAAGCTACGAATACGTGCACATCGAATTGAAAGTTGTTGAATCTTGCCTTATAACCTAATTGTTAAACGTTAATTATTACCTTAACCGAAAAAAATGAGCTTAGAGCTACACGTTGTGTAACAGCGTTTTTTTCAGTATATGATCGCGGGAATTAAAGTTACGTGATAGGAAGCCAATTTTAGTCGTTGACAATTTCTTGTTTATATGAAAATTATGGTAAAAATTTAGACTGCAACCTTTCCAATCTCAGATAAGTCTGAAGTAGACATTGGAATTAAAAAAAGTTCTCTCGCTTTAAGTGCAACTCAATAGTCCTTGACTTAACTTCGGAAAGGAGTCACTAATGTAAAATTAAACTCACAATACACCCGAGGCTTAGTAAAATTTTGCAACAGTTTTAAAAACGAACATATTAACACCTGAAAAGAACAATGATGAAAAATATTGCTTCTATAAAGAAAATTAAAACTAGGCTGTTTCTCAAAAACTGTAGTGCTTAGGAAAATTATTTCTACGTCAGTGATTTTTACGGAAAAATATGCAAAACTTTCTCCTTTGCAAGATTTTAATATTTTTCATTATAATCGAACTACCAGTTAGGAAAGTTACTTTTGCTATTTCGTCAATATGTACGCGACCATGAGCCATCAATACAATACATGGTTCCATTTAGCCCTGAAATAGGCAACTTTAAAGGATTTCGAGATCCTAATGCTGTACGCGATAAATAAACCACCCTGTTAAGCTTCAGGAGATTTAGAATCTTTGAAAGATTCGAAAATTCAGGTTCTGTTATGTTTAAAGATTTTGCAAAATCAGATAATCTTAAAGTCAGAATATTTTTTACACTCTACGTCTAAATATTGTAAAGGTACTACAGCAAATTAAGGGTCCTGGACATTCGTAACATTCTGAAAGTATTGAATCTTCAGAAAATTATGGAAAGTTCAAAGGCTTCTGAAAGCCCTGAATTATGTGAACAGAATGAACGTTCAAAAAGATCCTGAAAAATATAGACATTTTAAGAATCCTTGCGATACTGAAGATACAGAAACTTCTAAAGATCCTGAACTTTCTGAATCCCTTCAATTTTGTAGAGGTGTCGAAACATTTGAAGATTCTAAACATTATGCTGAAGTTATTGAAAACTCTCATGATTATGAATACTTTCGACATTAAGAATTTTCTTAAAACACTAAATGTAAAAGTTTTTTATGCTATTTTTTTAACAAATCCGCTACTGGTCTTTAACACAAGCACTTATCACTACTTCAGTTTTTTAACACATACAAATATCACCTACTAACTGAAAGAAAAATGTTGAATATTGTGTATATAAAATCTTGCCTCGATTGGGGGATGATTCCATGACACATAAAGTTCAAAACATAGCTTCTTAAAGGTTTTATTGCTTCATCAGCAATTGATATTGAATATTTTAAGGTACTGTGATAGGCTTAGTAATAAAAAACTAAAAAAGTCTTTGAAAAACATTAGGTATTCATTTGTACATGTAATGCAGTTTTACTTTTTAAAAATAACATTTTTCAAATGGGCTCCATTTAGAGCTAAGAAAGTTACTTTGCTAAAACATCTAAGTTACTTTCTATAGTTTTTTTTCAAAAACGTAACTTGAGTTACTCGGGAAACTAGATACTTATAATCAAAAGTAACTAAGTTACTCTTAACAAAGTTCTTTTAAAAAGATACTTTCGAGTTGCTTGCTTCGAATTTCAATAAATAAAAAAAAAAGATCAACGACTGAAATTCAACCCACAATCCTAAGTAAACGAAATCATACGCCAACAGGGAGGAAAAAGTTTATTCAAAAACAGTGGAAATAATTTATCCATTATATTAACACTCTGTAATAAATCAAAACATACCTTACAGGAAATAATGCACCAAAGAAAAAAAAGTGTATTCAAATATTTATGATACAGGGTAGATTTTTTGTCTGGAACACTGAACACATCTTCAAAACTACAATTTTTGCAAAGAAGTTTTTCATGGTAGTATGCACAATGATAAAAAAGATTGCTACCCATCTACATACTTTTTGTGGTCAGTGGTGTATTTCTGCAAGGCCAAGGAGGATAGAGTTAAGTACGAAGCAGGTTTTTGACACAGGAACTGGCCACTTTTTGAGATTGAGAGGGCTCCTTTTGGTTATTGAATACATGGCAAAAGGGATTAACTTAAGCACGATTGAACGCTTGAAGAAGTCCGAACTCACGATGAACAAAAACCGCTGTTGGACGACAATCACAAGCCATTATCGCAAATCGTGGATTCACAGCACTAAAAAAAATTCTTCGGAGCAGCAAATTTGCCTCAGATGATGACGTGAAATCGCAGCGGCGTCGTTTCTTGAAAATGATTTTTTTTATGGGATGAAACAACTGGCGAATTAAGAGTAATACTTTTTTGAAGCTTCCTTCATGGTTGGTACAAAATTTAATTTCTAATTTATGTAACGATCATTAAAACTATATGCCTTGTTAATTTAATTAGAGGTCAGTCGCTATGTTTCCCTATATGAACGCAACCGTTTGTTGCTTTGATCGTTTACTTAAAAAAAGCTGTGACAAATTTCATCGTTACAACAAACGTGTTTTTCGTCACACATTTTACTTTGTTTATAAATGCTGATAATTGAAACACCAAAACCGTAAAATTTAGTTCTTGTTTAATGAGGCAATTCACTTTGTGTACGATTTGGCTGATCTTAAATGATGTCAACTTAATCAATATCGTAAAATTGCAGTAATTAATTAGACGCCTTACTTTTTATTCCACCTCTGCGCAGAAAGTTCACATAAATTCGATACAATCGCGGCTAACTTTATAATTGAGCCCACTATTTAACTGTCAGGTTATACTCCTACACCACACTGAAAACGAACAATCATCGTCAGAATCTTCACAAGTTTCTGTACAGGGTCTTATAGGCCTTTATAATATTCAAAATTTTTATGATTTTGAAAATGTTCTAAAATTTCTAAAGTTTCCGAAGCTTCAGAACCAGTAAAATCTGCACATAGTAAGTACCTTTGGAACCTACAGAACCTTCGAGATATTCAGAATCCATACAATAATCTAAGACAATCTCTCACTACATAATTTACACTTTAAAGACAAAAAAGAATTGAAACTTTCAGTACCTATCGTGCTTCTGTTTCATACACTGTAAAAAGTTTCGTGTAAAAATCAACACGGAAAGTGGTCGATATACGACCACACGAGGTATGGTAGACTGTACCATATCCATTTTGGTAAAGTCTACCAAATGATCGTGGTAAAATTTTAGCCCGTGTTGGTGTAGGTATTTTCACACGAAGATGTGTAAACTTTACACACAGTTTTCGTTAAATCACGGTCAAGGTAACCATTTGCGGTGTAGAAAGTGTGTAACCTTCCTTTTTTACCAAACATCGACTGCACCAAAATTTCTCGGGAAAACACTTTTTCTTATTAATTTTGGTGCGTAGAATCCAAAACAATTCGTACTTTTTCGA